TCAAGTTTATTTAAGTGATCTCTACACCCAACCTGGGGCTCAAACTCAGGACCCCGAGATCGCATGCTTTTCCCATTGAGCCAGCCAGGCGCCCCAGCTGGGGATAGTGTCTGAGCCTCAGGATGATGGTTTCTCACTGGGCTCCCTGGAGCCTGAGGCCCAGGGTCCTCAAAAACAATGCCAGGGGTCATAGAGTTATTTCTTGCTTTCCACGTTTAAAAAATCCTTATAGAATTAGTGCATGGACCATTTTTAAGACTGCACAGGTAAGCTAAAAGATTACGTTTCTTTGCTTTAGGCCAGAATGATGTAAACTCAGTTGGCACCGGATACCCAGAACAAATTAACTGCTGCTTAATAAATATGGTTTGTTGGAGGTCTACACAGAGGGAAGGCAAACTCATTTTTTTTAAGTGCTAAAAAGCGACTCTGAACAAGTTGCTTGATTTCTGTTTTTCTTACCTGTGAAATGAGGATGATGACCTATATATACTTCAGGGATTGTTACAAGAGTCAATGGGATAAAGTCTGTAAAATCTCGTTTAAGTGCCTGTGCATAGGAAAGGCTCAATGAATTCTAGATATGATTCACTGTCATTATTATTAAATGATTGGGAGCTACTGCAGATACTTCTGTTCAACCCCAGCTTTCTAACACATGAGCCAACTTGCTAGAAAACCATGTGGACACCTATAAAATCATTCAGAGTCACCTGGCCCTTGCAAGTCTGGGGGAGTCTCAATGGTAGATCATTAAATTCCAAGCTTCCCCTGAAACAATCTAATAACTCTTCAGGTGGTCCTCTCTGGTCGTGGCCCACTGGCGGTATCAGGATTCTGCAGGTAATTCTCAAAGGAGGAAAGTCATAAGGGACAAGGGCAGGTTAGACTAGGCCACTGAGGAAGGGAGAAATCCTCTGCTCCCTGCTGAAAGGGCAGCTGTCAGTGTAACAGAAAAGAGTCTGAGGTCCAAGTGGACCCCAAGTCTAAATATGACCCAACCACAGAACACCTGTGCTGGGATGAGGCCGATTCAGGGAGACAGACAGCTGTATAACATTCAGAGCAGAAGATTGTCTTCCCTTTGTGAAAGGAATTTTGTGCCTAGGGCTACCTGACCTCATTGCTAGTGAGGACCACCAGGAGCCTGACTGGGGAGTGGAATAGCCTGGGCAGTTGTAAAGGAGGGCAGAGGGGCAGAGCAGGAATGTGATGAGATTGACACCCTTGACGTCACCAGAAAGCCTATTCTCGCTGGACTTCTAGCAGAGGTGGCTATTAATATTACGTAGTATCATTAATAGTACTACCATTTATTGAGCACCTACTGTATGTCAAACCTCACACTTAATTCTTTACATGGATTATCTCATGCAATCATGGTGACAACCCTAAGAAGAGGGTTACTATTATTATACCCTCATTTTACAGACAAGAAAACTGAGGCTCAAAGAGGCCAAGTCTGTTGTTCCCAGGTACGTCACTTGGGCATCAAGCTCATTAAGTGACAAGGCAAGCCCAGGGCCACCCACATCATCCTGGTTCTTTGCCTCCTACCCTGACTCATTTCTCCAGCTCTCTTCCCTCCTCTGCCCTGGGCACATGGGGAGAACAAGAAGAAAAAGCGGCCCCCAGGTATGTGCTGGTACCCCCCCTCACATCCACTTCTTGTTGCAGGAAAGTGAACAAGTGCTACCGGGGCCGCTCCTGCCCCATCATTGTGCACTGCAGGTGCGTGCGGAAGGGCTGGGGGCAGGGGTGGGGGCGGGGTCACAGGGGACAGGACAGCTCAGGCCAGAGGGTCCTGAGGTGGGGCATTCCTGATTGCCACCCCTCTCTCTGGTCCTCCTCCCTGGGCACATCTCCCATGCAGCTGCCTGTTTGGCCCCTTGATGCTGGCCAACAACAGCCCATGGGCCAAGTTCAACATATCATCTGTTTTTTTTTTTTTTTTTAAATGGCCCATGAGCTAAGAATGGTGTTCACATTTTTAAATGGTTGAAGAAAAGTAAAAAAGAATGTGTGACAGAGACTCTCTGTATGTCGCACACAAAATTGAGAATATTTACCCTCTGACCATTTACACCAAAAGATTGCTGAACAAAAGCCTGCCCAGAGGCTGGAAAGGACCATTCTTATCCCTCCTCTGCCCCAGCTGATTTCACCTTAAGACTAAGCCAGGGCTCTTCTTTTAGGCTGGCCCACTACCCAAGTGACACCCCCTGGCTCACAGGTCCCCCACTCAAGGCCCAATTCCCAGGGGCCCCCGGGGCTCTGACTGATGCCTCCTCAACCATGCCTACTGGCCCCACCAGTGTCTTCCCCACCCCAAGGAGCCTCCCTGTCTCCTCTGCCCCTTCCCCTTTCTGCTGGGTCCTGAGCCGAGCCTGTCATCCTCTCCTGTTTCAGCGACGGTGCGGGGAGGACTGGCACTTACATCCTTATTGATATGGTACTGAACCGCATGGCAAAAGGTGAGGACCTTCCCCACAACACCCACAGCCCTGCCCCCGATGAGCTATCCCAGCACCCAGGCTCCTGCCCAGTCCTCCAAGCCTCCCAGCCCAGGGCGCTCCAGGCTTTCTGGGTCCTGTCCTCTGGGCAAACCCTGTGCCCTCTCCAATCTCCAGGAGTAAAGGAGATCGACATCGCTGCCACCCTGGAGCACGTCCGTGACCAACGGCCTGGACTTGTCCGCTCGAAGGTGACTGTTCCTCCCCACACTGACCTGAGCTGCTAGCCTCGCCCAGGGAGACTGGCAACAGCCTGCCTCCCCCACCTGCCCCCACCTGCTCCGGGAGGACTCCCCCTGGCCTAAGTGACCTTCCTGGCTCCCCTACCCAAAAGCCCCCCTCCCTTGCCCAAAAGCCCCCCGCCTCCCCATGCCCCCCCCCCCACAGGGCAAGAGCAGAGGTCAGTCCTCTCCATGACCATTCTCCCCCTGCCCTTCTCCAGGACCAGTTTGAATTTGCTCTGACAGCTGTGGCGGAGGAGGTGAACGCCATCCTCAAGGCCCTGCCCCAGTGAGACCCCTGGGGCCCCTCAGTGGGCAGACCAGCCTCTGCTCCCTCTTTGCCTGTGTGAGCATCTCTCTGTGTACCCCCTCCTTTCCCCCAGCCCCACCACCTGGGTCCCTCTTGGGCATGGCCAGTTGTAAAGCCGGGGATGTGGGAAGGGGCAAACCTATCGAGCCTCTCACCTGTCAGAGCCCCCAGGAAGTCCCATGGGAGGCAGGGGCGGGGTGGGGGGGCTGGAGCTCCCCAGCCCGGCTCCCATTCTTCTGAGAGCTCCCAGGATGTCTGTATGGACTGACCCGGTGGAGGGCCCGTCCTCCGTGCTTGCCCATCCCCCGCTGCCTGCCGCCCTGCCTCTGTGGCCCACGCTCTGGCCCCTGCCCTCCCTGCCTCCCTAGGGCCTCCTCCCCTGCCCTCCTGCCACGTGCCACTCCACTCTCGCCCTCTGGCACAAGAGAACATTTCTAGAAAAATCTACTTTTGTATCAATGTGAATAAAGTTAGTGTGTCATGTGTGCAGCTGCAACCCGGAATCCTACACTTTTGTGTCGTCTCTGCTTCCAGACTCCATCTCTTTGTGCCCTTCAGCCCCAGGATAATGAGCCTCATGCAGCCCAAGCGCCTGGCACACCACAAGCAAAACTAGCTAGACTCTGGTAGCAGCTTGTACACCAGGCCTGTGAGACATCACAACAGGCATCCATCCACCAGGGGGCAGGGGCACTTCCTCCCCCTCTCCCAACCCTCCTTCTTATAGGGCCCCATGTCCTCCACACGTGCATATCAGGAGGCATCCTTGGACAAAGGTGATGGACACAGAAATTAGGCAAAAAGAGCCTTGGGCCTGGAGCAACTTGGGAATTAGGAACACTTAACCTTGCCAAGGCTGTCCCCTCATATAAACAACAGGGGGTTACTGCCACCTGCCTGGCACAGGGAGCAAACAGACCTGGGAGCAGACCACAGGACCCCCTACACCTCACCTGTGCTCTGCTGAGGCTCAGATCCAATGTTTGACATCTCAAAGACCAAGAGTGGGCAAAACAGCCATTTTACAAACTTCCAGCAGATTCTTTCTTTCAAGATAGAGGCTTGAAGTTCCTCTTCAAGGAACTTCCTTGCTGGTTCCTTGCTTTGAGAAAAGTACAGTACAGGCCCTCTGGCTGTAGAACATGAAGCTAGGCAACTCTCCTGGAATGGAAGAGTCACAAGGGAGCCACCTCACTCTGCTTGACAGGGGAAAGTTGTTTGTCCCGTGAAGGGCATCTCTGAAGGTGTCTGGAGAGCAGGGAGGAGGAGGTCCCTGGCTTTTTCCCATCTGGGTCCTGACAAGTTTAGGGCCTGGACCCTGGGTGGGGCGGACTTGGACTGCTCCACCTGGGAGAGGCGGGCCTCTGAGACTGGCCCCTGGCCTTGAGGTGAGGGAACCCAGGGAGGGGATCAGTCTGTGGGCCTTAGGAGTAGTTTTTACACGCTTTCACCATGTGTTCCCTACTTTCTGTCGTTCCCATACTTGTGGTTGAGTCATAACTTAGCCTGGTCCTTGCTGTGGGGCAGGCTAGTGGACAGCGGGTCCCTGCCTGGGAAAGGCCAGTGGTAGAGCCACAAGAGGCGAGGCCAGAAGAATGAATTTCTTGGGACTCAACAGTGTACTTGGGGAGTGCAGCCTGGTCAAACGGGGGACTTCTGCTGTCAACTGGGAAGCCTTGTGACCTCTGGGTGTTTGGGCAATAAAGGGGGCTATGTCACCCACTGGTCCCATAGGGTCCCCTTTGGGGCCACCCCGTAAAGAAAGAACACGGGAACGCAGTACACCACCAAGCTCTCAAAACATTTTTATTTATTGACTTCCAGTGTTTCTCTCTCGGTCTGAGCTCAGCCCAGCTGGCTTTGATAGGTCTCTAGGATGCCGTGTCACAGGGCTGGCAACACCCTGTTTCCACCACTCCCCTCCCTGGCCACGGGGCTCCCCAGGCAGGGAGGAGGAGAGGCAGCTTATTTGTGGTGTTGGAGAAGAAGAATGGGCAGCAGGGTTAGAGGCCAATGAAGCCATACAAGCAGCAACATGCCCAGAGGACCCATCACACACCAACCCCGGCCACGCGCATGCGTGCGTGTTCTCACGCTCACACGCACACACGCACACACTCTCTCACACTGGTGGCCTCCCCTTCCAAGCTCTCTGCCCGCCCACGCCTGTCAGTCGCCTCCTGGGGCCACGCCCTGCTCATCCGTCCCATCGGATCCGACTGCGCAGAGGAAAAGAGCCTCTCCCAGATGCTGCAGGGTTTTCATTTGTACACTCTAAGCCAGGGGCTAGCAAGCTGTGTCAGGGGAACTGAAGCTTGGTCCACTACCCCTTCATCCACATTCTTGCCACCCCCGCCAGAGTCCAATCAGATGACAAGATCTCCCCTTCTCACAGCGAGTGACAAGCCAACCTGGGCTGGAACTACATGTCCCAATATGCACAGCTCCACAACCACTCACCGCTTCCCCTAGCATGATCTATCAGAAATGAGGCAGGGTGTGTTGCATTCTGGGACTTGTAGTCCCCAAGAGACAGCACCAAACACCCAGGGAAGAGTTCGCAGGCTAAGACTAAGGATGCCTCCCACCCGGCCCCCACCCACCACCCAGGCCCAGCTCTGCGCTTAGCATGGGTGAGGGAGAGGAATGGTGGGTCCCCTCCCAGCGCACAGGGGAGGGCGCTGTCCTGTTGGAACTGTGCAGCGGCTCTGGATCCCGGACATCCAGCTCAGAACACATCTGAGGAGAGAGCGGGGGCGGGGTGATAGGAGACAGGGTCAGCAGCAAGCCGTGGAGGACGGAGCTGAGCATGCAGACCTGGGCTAGCCCTGTGGCCTCTCCCTGAGCCCTGATGCATGGTGAAGTAGGATGGGGTCCGGTCCCCTCCTTAGCCTCCCTCCTGGGGCACCCTGGCCTTATCCCACCTCTCCAGGGATAGCCAGCCTCACCTCTGCCTAGTCCCGAGGCCTGGGGCAGGCTGAGGCAGCAAGAGGAAGGGAGGAGGAGTGGGCTCCGGTTCCGAATCTGGATGAGAGGCTCCCGCCCCACCCAGCTAGCCTCCCCAGAAGACCTTATGGCCCTACCGGCCACAGCATCTTCCTGGTCCCACTGAGGCTTTCTCAGGGAAGGAAGGAGGGAGTCCTAGCCAGATGGCAGTGAAAGCAAGCGATGCGGCCCGCAGGGAAGTGCAGAGAGAAGAGAGCGAGGGAGGAGCAGCAGCACCAGAAGGGAAGCAACAGAGATGTCAGAGCTCAACGCTGCACAGAAACCAGGGTGGGGTATCTGCAGCTGGACAAGGAGCACGGGAGACTCCCTGCTGTAGCTGCCGACTCCGGCCCAGAGAACCCCAGGCCAAGTCCTCCTTCCTTGATGTCATCAGCAACACAGGTGGCCACAGACCTGGGCACAAAAGGCCTGACCCAAACCACTAATGCCCCTCAGAAACTCCCCATCTAGTAGGAATAAGTGCATCCTGGCTCCTGGGAGGCCCTCCCACTGCCCGGAGGCCCCCCGTTGGCTCCCCACCCTGGGCTTCGCCAGGGACCTATCAGCTGTGGCTGAGCAGAGCAAATCCCGAGTCCACACTGGAGTGCGAGTGGACATGGGAGGGAAACCCGTGGGGGGGGGGCACTGAGGTGGAGAAGAGCTCCTACAGCTCAGGCCCTGCCCCTCTGCTCCTGACAGTGAGCAGGACCCCCGGTCACCCTCAATCAGGGTGGTCTGGGCCTGGTGATCAGAGGATGAGGCAGCGAGAGGCCTTCTCCTCTGGGGATGGGCTAGGCTTGGCCGCATCCCCCCTTGCAGCCTCAGGGGTCCCCCCCGTGCTGGGATCTCGGTCCTGGGCCTTGGGCCGCCCCTGCCGTCGACGCTGTGCCCCCCGCCCACCTGCGGGTTTCTTCCCAGCCGCCTCCATCTCGGACAGGCTGTAGGCCATGGCGAGCTGTATGTCCTCGTCATCCTCAGAGAGGTCGCTGTCAGAGGGGCGGGAGGCAGGAGTCTGCCGGACCCGTGTGCCCCCGGACCTTGAGGCGACAGCCTGTTGCTGCTCTCGACGGCTCAGCTCCAAGCCCAGCGCCAGGTCATCCAGGACACCTGCAGGAGTCATGGCCACCATAACACCCTCCAACCCAGGCCAGAGGAATCCTGCCAGGCTGTCTCATGCAGGGGCGACTTGGACCACTTACAGCCCCTCCTCTGGAACTGGCACGCACGCATTCCGGCAGCTGGCACGGTGCTCGTGCGTGTGGGCAGGTACCCAGCTCCAGCAGGTACAAGCCATCTCCTTCAGCAAGTCACTCAACCTCCCTAAGCCTCCCTGTCCTCGTCTATAGAATGGAGGTAGTGAGAGCACCTACGCTGTCAAACTATTCCCACAACTAAAGAAGACAGCTCAGGAAGCACACTCGGCGTGCAGTGCTCTGAGAGGCGGCAGGCACGGAAGGGCGTCCTTCTGTGATCCTTCCAGGAAGGTCAGGTCCTTTCTGACCATCCCACTTGGTGGGACGCTGGGGGAAGGCTTCTAGCCCAGGAATCCTGCGTCCTGAGGGTCACTCCTCGCTTCTCCTCTTCCTAAGTGGGACAAAGCCTTGGGCCTGGGGCTACTTGGGCGTTTGGGCCATTTAACCCTGCTGAGGTAATAATTCTCCTCATGTGGAGAACAGGATGGCTACCAAAACCCTGCCCTCCCCCCGCCTGCTTCCGCATGGAGCCCATGTTCTGTGCACAAGTGCTTTCAAAACAGTCCATGCTCTGCAAACGCCAGGCACCCACTAAGGGCCTGTGGCCACCATTCCTCCCCTGCCCCAAAGGAATTGAGAGAGGACAGTGTTGCGGCGGGGGGGGCGGCGGCTGGGGCCTGGTGCTGGGGCTTCCTGCCAGGGACTGGGTGGCAGAGCCACTCCTCACCATTGATTGTGACTGACTTCAGTTGTCCGTCTTCTTCCACTTCCACCCGCTCCTGCCCGTTCTCCATGATTCTGTGGGGGATGGCACAGTTCACTCAGCGAGCCACGCACGAACCCCGCAGGTGCCTGTCCGCACTCTGGGATAGCCATGGCGAACGGGACAGATTCTGCCCACAGGCAGCTGACCTAGTCGTAGGCCACTCCCCCTCTACCCCTCACCCCCGCACCCCTGCCCCCGGGATGATCCCAAAGGGGCCCTCACCTGCGTGTCGTGATGCGGCGTCCTTGGACAAAGGTGGTGGATGTAGAAACAGAGCGAAAAGCACCAGCCCCAGGACTGAAGGAGAAAGAGGAGGAGGAGAAATCTGGCATGGAGACAAGGGAGGAAGCAGAGAGGTGGTCAGAGGGAAGACGGCGCTGGTATGCTGCAGTCACGAGGGGGCCGGGAACCACTGTGGGGGTCTCCCCGCAGAGATGCCTGAAGACAGGTCTCCAGACACTCAGGAGAGAAGGCTTGGAAAAGGAACGAGTCAGGATGAGGGGTTCCAGGACCCAGAGCTTGCAAAAACACTAACGGACAGCACATACCAGAGTGCCCAGGGAAGGAGGAAGAGAAGGTGAAGAAGGGGCCCGAGTGTCGGGAACCCCGGCTCTGAAGCTCGGAGAAGGGGCCCAGGTCATCTGCAACAAACACGCAGATTAAAAATCATTGGGCAAAGAGTGCTGTTCCCCCCAAAATGTGTGCACCCTGCCTTTCAGCCTTGAAATAGAGCCTACTAAGCATGTCTGATTTTTTTCCTTTTTTGATCGTGGACTTGTTTACAAATTAAATTTCTTTTTAATATTAGGTATGAAAAAGATCCCTGGCAAATTCCCTCCACAGGAGACAATGAAGGAGGGAAGGGAAAAGAGAAAGGGGGGGTTGGTTAGCTCCTTTGGCACAGGCAGGTAAGCATGGCATGAAATCAGGCCCACCCGGTCAGGAAGCCCAACTCTCCCGTTGGCTGGGTGACTCTAAGCAAGTTACCTGCAAGAACGTTTGTGCTCTCATCTGTAAGTGGGGAGAAAACTGTCCACCTCACAGGGCTCACAGTCTTCGCTGCGAACATGCTATCTGTCATGTGTGATGTCACTGTGATGGTCACACGGTGCCCTGAGTCCTGCTTTCACAGCTGCTATTGTGCAAGCCTAACAATATACCATTGTTGCCCTCGTTTCATAAAGCGAGTCTCTGTGGGTTCAGGCCTGTGCAGGTTCTGTCCTCACTGTCCCTAGACCTACCCCCACAAAATCTTCTGTCTGCGGAATTCTGCTGCCCTCTCGGCCTCCTCCCTCAGGGGCTCCCGGCTGATGGAGGGCAGGGCCTGGAGCGGGAGTTGGAGCTGGTCAGAGGCCTCCCAAGCCCACTCACCAAAGAGCTCCGCAAAAGGGTCTCCACTCCCAAAGAACTCCCGGAAGACCTCCTCGGGGCTGCGGAAGGTGAAGGTGAAGCCCGGCCCACCACCACCAGGTTCTGCGCGGGATGGGCCAGTTCCTGGAGTAGAGGCAGGAGGAAAAAGGGGCTCAGGGCGTGCATCTTGCCCTGAGCCAGGGGACTCCAGCGAAGGCACGGCCTGGAGCCTTAGGAAAACATCCACAGCACTACCCTGCCCTCCCCCTCTCCTCTGTGACCCACTTCCCTCCCTGGGCACCCCCCACCCCCACCCCACCGCTCCACCTACCAGCCCCAGTCAGCCCCTCCCGGCCATAGCGGTCGTAGATCTCTCGCTTGTGCTCTGGAAAAAAAGACCCAATCATTTCTCCCTCCCTCTGGGATGATGGCCTCCCCTTCTAGGCTAGGACCCTCAGAGGATTGCCCAGTGACGGAGGCTTGGCGGGGGGCAGCAGGGTGCACAGGGGACATGGGCCATAGGTTTCAGCAGTGCCAGCTCTTTGCAGTGTGGTTCCCTCTCATCTGTAGAATGGGCACAATCACAGCACTGACCTCGCAGGGTCATTGCCAGGATTAAATAAGACAATCCACGGAAACTGCTTAGCATGGTGCCTGATAACCCAGTAAAGTGCTCAGCGAATATCAGCTAATTGTTACTATGCTATTAATCAGGACTTAGCCTCCATGTTGCCTCCGCAGAGAGGCCTTCTGTGATCATTGTAACAAGAGGGGTGCCCGTACTCCCCAACAACAACACCCAGAGGCTCCCCCGCAGAATAGTGGTGGTTATGTATTTCCTTGGTTAATGCTGGGCTTCTGGGGACAAGAGGCAATAAACCCATGATGACAAGGACAGTGTCTGTTTGTCCTCCGTTGTTCCCAGCACTCAGCAAGGGCCCAGCACCATCAACACTTAATGAATATTTTTTGAATGAATGAATAAATAAATAAATGACAGACCTGGAGTCGGTTAAGCGTCTGACTCTTGATTTTGGCTCGGGTCACGATCTCAGGGTCCTGAGACGGAGCCCAGCATAGGGCTCGACGCCCAGTGTGGAGTCTGCTTGAGACTTTTTCCCCCTCCTTCCCCCTCCCCCCTGCTCCTCCCCCTCACTCACACTCTCTCTTTCCCTCTAAAATAAATAAATAAAATCTTAAAAAAAAACCAAACCAAAACCAACAACAGACCCGGATTTGTATTCCAGCTCTGTGTGACCTTGAGCAAACCACCCCATCTCTCTCAGCCTGTTTCCTTGCCTATAAAGTGGGGATGATAAATTCTGCCTGGCAGGATGGCTGTCAGACCCTTGGGGATTACACCCACCGATGCATGGCACAAAGAAGGCTCGGCACACATGTAGGTTACCGGGCCTGCTCCCATCCCCTTGTCAAGACCCATGCTGCAACTACCATACCAGATCCCAGGGCGCAGACACTGAGCGCAGGGATTAGGGAAAGAGTAAGAGGGTGCTTTGCACATAGTAGGTGCTCACTTGAACTGAAGCAAAAAAAAAAAGAAAAAGAAAGTTGCAGAGCCCCCTGTCAGAGGGGGCACTTAACTGCTGGGTTAGAAACACGCATGGAGGGGACAGGAGGTGGCAGCATGTCTTTGGGAAGGAGTAGGATGGGGCATGAAATGGGGGCGATAGGCGCTGCCCTGCCCTGCCCCCCCCTTACTGTCTGACAGCACTTCATAGGCCTCCGCCACCTCCTTGAACTTTCTCTCAGCAAATTCTTTATTATCCGGGTTCTTGTCTGGGTGCCACTGAAGAGCCTTCCGCCGATACCTGCAGGAAGTAGGACAAGTGGGCAGGTCGGAAGACATGAGAAAGCACCTCTTGCCAAGAAACAGAAAGACCTACTTGCCCATTTCTTTCCCCATTCAGATCCCCTTCTGTCCCAGGTGCTAGGGCTGCCTCTGCTGCCCAGCTTTAATGGAGTCCCTCTCTCTCCCCTCTGCGGCCAGTGCTAAGACGACTTGTAGCAGCAGAAAACAAGGGCAGGAGACAGCCCTCGCCCTAACCCCTCTGGAGCTCACAGGGGCTGCAAAAATTGGAAATCTGTGTGTCCATGGCATACAGGGCTCTGGACCCTCCTGGTCACAGGGCCTGGACATTTTTGCAGGCATCCTGAGAAAGCCCACACCTAGGGGCTGACGCTTGAGGCAGGAGTGATGGGGAAGGGGGGGTGTGATCCACTGGAGAAGGACCCACAGTGCAGCTCCCAGCAAAACTTCTTCATGCTAGGGGCCTTCTCCTACTCTTCCAGGGGTCTTCTTCCCTCCTATGGAGGGAGCCCCCAATCCTAAGGACCTAGGTCTCTCAGCGAGGCCTCTGAAGGACCCCATGGTGGTGATGGGGAGGGGTTGGGGGGGTGAGAGGTTTTCTGATGCGCAACGGAGGCACTTACGCCTTCTTGATGTCATCAGCGGACGCACTTCGCGGCACGTCTAGGATGTCGTAGTAGGATGCCATGGCAACTCGTCAGGAGTCAGATGGGCCTTCGTGGGGCTGCAGGAGAGGAGGAGGAGTCAGGCAGGAAGAATCCAGGGTCCCCTCCCTGGGCCTGGAGACCCCCACCCCCCGGAGGGAGCGGGAGGCGCTCCCAGGAGGAAGCGGCGCCCACTGGGTTCTGGTTGGGACCAGGAACGAGGTTCCCTCCGGCAGCCTTATCTGGCCCCCGCAGGCCGGTGCCGCGGGCTATCTCGGCGCCTGGGGCCCGGGGAGCCCTATCGCAGCCCCGAGACTCCAGCAGCCCTGCCCAGGGCCTCCCAGCCTGACCGGGGCCCCCCGCCCGCACCTCCTCGGTCGGGAGTCCCTGGCCTCCTGCAGCGCCCCGCCCCTGCCCCCCGCCGGAACCGTCTGGCACCGGCCGCCCCGGCTCGCGGCTGCTGCGTAGGACGCGCCGGGCCCAGCTGTGCGCGCAAGCGTGCGTCAGCGGCACGGAAACTACTAGAGACCCAGACGAGGCCGACCGGGCCTGTCACCCAGCGGGGAGGAGGTTGGGGGACGGCTGCAGGGGCTGCCGGGAGATGGGGGCGGAGCCGGCTATTTTGGGCTTGCTCCCGGGCGACGTCATCCCCAGACGGGACCTGGGAGACGGCTGCCGGCTGCGTCCTGGCGTGACGCACTCGCGGGCCAACGAGCCGCCCGGCCCCCGGTCCCTCTGTCCTTTCCCTATAACAGGCTCGGTGACTGACGGCTACTCACTCCGGAAAAAATCCCCCATATCAAGGACTCACAGACAAACCCTCTGGGTCTAAATCCTCCCCCTTCAGATCTTTGCTCCCGCCCCAGGTCCTGAAAAGAGGCTGTCCTAACTTCCCTGAGTAGGTCAGACCTGCCTGTCAGCGTCTCGTGACACCATCACGCTCGTCGGAGGGGCAAATCTGCCCTTACCTGCTCGATTCTTTGATGGACATTCACCTCCTCCATTAGAATGTAAATTCCACAGGACAGAAATTGTGTCTTTTTTTTTTTTTTTTTTTTGCCCTTGAGTATTTAGGGCAGTTGTGGGGTTCAAAAATAGCTGTTGGATTGTTGACAGTTTTGACACATGTAGGGAAGGTGGGGTTAAAGGATAAAAGGAAAACAAACAAAAAAAAAAAGGGGGGGGAAGGAAATTCCCCAGATTCAAGGTTTTTTGGCTTTTTGCTTTTGTGGGATCCATCCCCCTCCCAGAGTGATCCCAAATATATCTTACCTCAAAATGATTCCTGGGTTCAGGCCTCATGAGACAGAGAACTTTCCAGAATTGGCTCCTGCTTGATATCCTTCAGGCTAATCCATAAGTATTCCCTGAACATCTACATAGTAGATGCAGTCAGGATGTAAAATGAAGAGTATGACCCAGTCCCTGGCTTCACAGAGCTCCAGTGTGTTAAGATTCCAGCCCAACAAGATAGCCCAGTGGGAAATTCCAAGGTTTTAAAAACAGACAGACCTGGCTTTGCAACCTGGCACTATTGTGTGACTTGGCAAAACCTCTAAGAACTCAGTTTTTCCTACCTAAATACAGGTAATGACTAGGGCTGTTTGAAAGTCAAACGAGGTGTGGTACATGGTTCATCTGGGTCTTAGTACGTACCTCTCTGGCATCATGACTGGCCCAAGCAGTCATGCTTATGTGAGTCCAGAAGAGTGTTTTCTGCTGGGTGGCCCAGAAATGCTTCACCAAAGAGAAGGGCTTAAGCCAGACAAGAGGAAAGAAGGTGACATGCATTTGCCCACTTTCCCTGGCTGCCCACAGTTTGAACCTTCCGAATACTTTTGGGGAATTCCCCATGTGTAGGCCTTGATGGGAGGCAGGCCACCCCCTGTCACAAAGCCCTGACACATGCTCTCCCAGACTTGTCGGCTCTAGGGGTATGTGGTCATTAACTTTGCCAGTTGAAAGCTCCAACTGGGACTTTGAATGTGGAGCAAGTCACAGAGAAGCTGGGGCAGATGAGAATTCGTTTCTGCGGTAATTGTGACAGCGGAGCCAGCAGCAGCCTCTAGTGTCTGGAGGAGGAAATGTCGGTCTCAGAGCCTAGGTGGGAAGAACCCTCATTGCAGCCCCCTGTTCTGTAGGGAACTGGGCGGGGTCTTTTAGGCAGGCTGTCCTGTGCCCTGACCTTGACTATGGTGCTGGATGCTTGGCTTCCCTTGCTGCCTACCTGTTCACGGAATCTTATCTGACAACCCTTGTATTAATTCTGTGTGCTACCCAGTGTCTCTCCAATGTGTGTGTGTGTGTGTGCAGGGAGGTGGGGAGGGGGGTGTCTTTTTCCTTTATTTTAATTTGCCAGAGCTAATTTCTGCTGTTTACAGCGAGAGTCCTGACTGGCCTTAGTATAAGAGGAAGGAATAGGTTAGGTCATTCCAAAATCTTCCAAATCTCTTTCTTCTTACTTCTCCTATCTCAACAGATGTTTGTCTAGCACCTACTGTGTATGTGATATTATATTAAGAATTGGGAAAACAAAGGGGTTTAAGTTCCAGTCCTTGTACTCAAGGTGGTAAAAATCCAGTTGGGACATTAACAAATGACAACCAAGGGAAATTATGTCAAACACATGTAGCAATCAAAGGGTAATTTCATTTGTTCACAAGAAAAGTCAAACACTGCAATTTTTTAAATGGGCAAAAGGCACAGACAAGAGTTTATAGAAGAGAAACTATTGATTTTTAAACATATGAAAAGATCCTCGACCTTATTCATAGCAAGAGAGTTACAAGGAAAGTGGCAATAAAATACTTTGTTTCATTTATCAGATGATGGACAAAGATCAAAATGTTTTATACACTGGGTGGGCAAGGCTCTGGGCACAGGCATGCTAGTACATTGGTAGTGGGAGAGCAATACTGTGCGTATCAAAGTTAAAAGTGCAGAGCCTTTGACCCAGCGGTTCTGATTCTGAGAGTTTATGGTTATACATATGGGCAAAGAAGTATGTACAAGGGTTCCAGAATTTGTATCCAAAGCAAAGAATTGGAAACAACCTAAATTCTCACCAGTAGCAGCCTAGTGAAACAAGCAAGGGAACGCTGCCTGGGGGAATAGTGCATTGTTACATTGTTACCAAAAAGAAGGAGGCACGTCTTTATGGACTATTAAGGACCATCTTCAGGGTTTTTTGCTAAATGAAAAGAGGGTAAGACAAAGTGTATATATGTAAGTGTGTGTACGGTAGTCCCCCTTATCCACGGTTTCAGTTGCCCGCAGTCAACTGCAGTCTGGAAGCAGGTCCTCCTTCTGATGTACCATCAGAAAGTCAGTAGTAGGGGCGCCTGGGTGGCTCAGTGGGTTAAAGCCTCTGCCTTCAGCTCAGGTCATGATCCCAGGGTTCTGGGATCGAGCCCCGCATTGGGCTCTCTGCTCAGCGGGGAGCCTCCTTCCTCCTCTCTCTCTCTCTGCCTGCCTCTCTACCTACTTGTGATCTCTGTCTGTCAAATAAATAAATAAAATCTTTTAAAAAAAGTCAGTAGTAGCCAAACACTACATCACAATACCTACAGCATTCACGTCGCTTTATCTCATCCTGTAGGTATTTAAGCATCCACATCATCATGAGAAGGAGGGGAGTATAGCACGAGATATTTTGAGAGAGACCACATTGGCTTAACTTTTGTTACAGCGTATTATTAGACTCGTTTTATTTTTTTGTTATTGTTAACCTCTTACGGTGCCTAATTTACAAAGTAAATTTATTATAGGGATGCATGTGTAGCAAAAGACATAATATATATGGAGTCTAGTACTATCCCTGGTTTCAGGCATCCGTGGGGGTCTTGAACATATGTCTTGAACATACTGCATACACATTAACATATGTAGATGTCTCTGGAAAGAAACATGAACAAAAAGTTAATAGTGGAGGCTGTCAAGAGCAGAACAAAAGAAGGGGACTTATTTTCACTTATAGCCTTATGTTTGCCGTTTGGAAATCTTTTTTGTGCCTTTTCAATTTGGAAGCATGTTCACATAATAACTTTGACTATATACAGCATTTTTCCAAATCTAGCTGGAGAAATGAGATATTGGCAAGAAGCTGAGTGCCCGCATACAAGGCAGTCCATGCCAAGCACTGAATGAGTGATAGAGCCAGACAGAAGGTGCTGGGAGACTCGAGCAGGGAGCTTCCCAGGGCTGGATGGTTCTGGGTGACTGTGATCTAAGCTGGAAGGAATGGCAACACCGAGACAAGCAGGGAGAGGTGGTGTTCCAGAAGGAGGGAATGGTGAGAACGCAGCTTTGGAGGCAGGCATGTTCCCGACACACCAGAGATGAAGGAATAAATGTGTCAGGTGAAATCCAAGTTGGGAATCTGTCTCCTGTCTCTGCCTGCAGGAGGTAATTGTACCCTGGCTTTAGAAGCATCAGGGATGAAAGCATTCCCTGCACTGAGGGAGTCCCGGGGAGTCAGGCTGGGTGGCGCTCCTGGCTGCCTCGCGGAGGGCTGGGTTGCCACCTCCCCACACCCACACCTAGTGTAACCGAGGACTGCCGGTGCTTGCCAGCAGAGTTGCTAGCTGGGAAGGCCTTGCAGGGTTTGAGATGGCCACACAGCTGCCCAGGGTGGGCAGGTGGGCTGGTGCAGCAGACAGAAGGGGTGCCGGGCCCCCCCCCACTGGATGCCCAGACATCCTGACAGGTGAAGACCTCATATCTTTTTGGCCTCTCCCAAGCCCTTACCTCACTTTCTATGAGATGTTGGGGCCGGGGGCCCTTTCCAGAGGACACTGATAGCCCCCAAACCTGTCCTCAAAGATGCTTCTGCCCTCACTCGGTCCCAGAAGCTGTTTATCTGCAACCCCCCCTCCCCTGTGCCCTCCACCCCAGCGCCTGGGCAAGGGAGTGTCAGGCGTCACTCCCTCCTTGCCTTTGAGGTGCCTGAGTCACTGTCTGGGCATTAGAGAACTAGCAGGTTCAGAGAGTGGCGTCTGGAGGGGTGCCTGGAACGGCTGAGGCAGGAGTGGGAAGGGCATTTGAGGGAGGGGAGGACAGCAGCAGAAGTTTCTGTCCAGGTTGACCTGGGTTCGAATCCCAACTCCTCCATTCATAACTGAGTAACCTTGGGGAAGTGCTGTGACTCCTCTGAGCCGCAGTCTCCTCTTCTGCAGAAGAGCCATTCATTCAGCAAGTCTATCCGACAAATATTCAACATATGTGTTGCCTAATATGTTCATCCAGCAACATTCTAGGTGCTGAGACTAGAACAAACTTTGTTGCCCTGAAGCTTCCAGTCCAGTACGTATCACTGTATTTACCTTAGGATTAAACAAGGTGATATGGGTACAGGGCCTAGGACATAGTAGGTACTCAATAAATGGTGTTTCTTGGGATTTGAAGGGCTTCCAAATGACCCTTCTTCTCTTCCCACGTTTGAAACCAGCTGAGAGAGAGAAAGTCACAGGAGTCAAGTAGAGATTTGAAAGTCACCCCTTTTGGGGTAGGGGTGGGTGGTGGATTTGAGGGTACAGCGGAGCTCCTCAGCCAAAATGGGCTTCTAAATACTCCCACTGAATTAAAAGATTCCCACCACCGCCACACACACATACATACACAAAACTGCAGGCCTCTCTGCCCGGGACAGAGCGACCCCTGTAAGCTTAAATCCTAGAAGAGGAGTTGAGAATACTTGCTGTTCCTGGGCAGGTAATTACAAAACGGAAGGAGCAAACTGCTGTGCTGGGAGTGCCCATTTTCTCCCCTAGCCCCTCACCCTCACCCTCCTGTGGCTTCCCCTCCATCCTCTGCTGACTACAGAGTAATTATTAGGACAAGACAGGGACAGGTGATGGGGACTAGGAGTCTCTCCTTTTCCTATTTGATCCACCAAAGGTCCTGAATGCTAGACCCGGTGTAGGTATGTGTTTGCTCTGAGATCCATTCCCCCCACCTTCTCGGCCTTTCTCTTGGTATCCCACTTGCTGCCCTTCCTTGTACCTAGCCTCCCTTGCCGACTAGCTCCCGTCTGAGTTCAGAGAATGGGAGCCGCTAGCCGGAGATTGAGGGTGGGAGGAAGGAGAAACCAGGGTTTTCCTCCCCCTCGCTCTAAATCAGAGGGCATCTTGGGCAGAGGCTGTGGACCCTGCCAGATGTCCCTCCCTCCTTGGCGCCTCCTGCCCCCTCCGGTGGCTCTGCTGTGGCTCCAGCTCCCACCTGGCATCCCAGCTCCAAGGGTCTGGCTTCACCGTCTCATCCCTTGGCTCCTTCAGACCTTTGGGTCGCTAGCAGCTTGCTGATGTTGCTGACATTTCTGTTGCCTTCTCAGCCTCCCGTCCTGGGAAAGGGAAGGCACGGGAAGGACAGAGCTGAGGGCAACGCTGAGCATTGAATCTCTTGGGGGCAGGGGGCGGGGGATTGCTCTAGTTTCAATCCCTCCACTGGTTAAATCATCCCTCCAGGCCACCAGAGGCTACAGAAAATCCATATATAAGGATTTTAGGGCCAGCCATTTGGTTGGAAGTGGGGGCTTGGAAGCTGTGCTTGCATAGCCCGAAGCATGGGATTGAAATAAGGTTCAATTGTCATTATCAAAAAGTGGTGAGTATTGATGGAGATGCCAGCCATTTCCCCATCATTGCTGCCACTGTGCCGCTGCTCTGCCTTAATGCCAGCTTCTGGACTCTCTATACCCGAACTTCCTGCCTGAAGGAGACAAACCGCCAATCTGTGGGGTGGGGTTGGTGAGCACCTGCTCTGGCAGATGGCTGGAAGGCGCACTTAAGACCCTCCTGGGTGAGAGCCACGCTCTTGTTGCAGCCCTGGGTGGCTGGGACCAGTTTCACTCCCCTCCTGCCCCGGGGCTTGGGGGTTTTGCTGTTGATGCTGCAGCCTAAGTGGGTGCCACCCAGACGTGCAGGGGAGTTCCTGCGTTGTGGGGCGAAGGCTTCGGCAATGGCAGAATGAAGCCAGTGCCTGTCTTTCCCCACCTTTACTTCCTCTCCTGCCCCCTCACCCAAGGGCTGATTCTAAGTTTATTCAGCTGCATGTTCCCTAGGGTGAATTCTGCCTCCTTCTCTGCTGTATTCTCCTGGATCCCTGTTCTTCCTGGAATCGCACGCTTTAATAAAATCTGGAGCCAGATCTGGTTTCTGGGGCACCCAGGCTAAGATGCCAACCTTCCTGTCTCTCTTGAAGGAGAAACCCCTGCTCCGCAAATTTTCCCAAGAGAAAAAGACACTTTGCGAGATGGTGAGGATACAGCACTTTACTTAGGACAGACACACAGGATTCTGCTAGTATTCACCCCCCCACACACGCTATCCATCTAATCCTTCTCCAGGGCACCCTTATCCTCCCGGGCCTCCGAGAACTCCCCCTCCTCCATGCCCTCACCCACGTACCAGTGCACAAAGGCCCTCTTGGCATACATCAGGTCGAACTTGTGGTCCAGGCGGGCCCAGCCTCAGTGATGGCGGTTGTGTTGCTCAGCATGCACACGGCGCGCTGCACCTTGGCCAGGTCGCCCCCGGGCACCACCGTGGGGGGCTGGTAGTTGATCCCGAGCTTGAAGTCCGTGGGGCACCAGTCCACGAACTGAATACTGCACTTGGTCTTGATGGCGGCGATGGCGGCGTTGACGTCTTTGGGCACCACGTCGCCCCGGTACAGCAGGCAGCAGGCCATGTACTTGCCGTGGCGGGGGTCACACTTCACCATCTGGTTGGCAGGCTCGAAGCAGGCGTTGGTGATCTCTGCCACCGACAGCTGCTCGTGGTAGGCCTTCTCCGCAGAGATGACCGGCGCGTAGGTGGCCAGGGGGAAGTGGATGCGGGGATAGGGCACCAGGTTGGTCTGGAACTCCGTCAGGTCCACGTTGAGGGCCCCATCGAAGCGCAGGGAGGCCGTGATGGAGGACACGATCTGGCTGATGAGCCGGTTGAGGTTGGTGTAGGTGGGGCGCTCGATGTCCAGGTTGCGGCGGCAGATGTCGTAGATGGCCTCGTTGTCCACCATGAAGGCACAGTCCGAGTGCTCCAGGGTGGTGTGGGTGGTCAGGATGGAGTTGTAGGGCTCCACCACGGCCGTGGACACCTGGGGCGTGGGGTAGATGGAGAACTCCAGCTTGGACTTCTTGCCATAGTCAACCGAGAGCCGCTCCATCAGGAGAGACGTCAAGCCCGAGCCAGTTCCCCCTCCGAAGCTGTGGAAGACCAGGAAGCCTTGGAGTGCCGTGCACTGCTCAGCCTAAAAAGTGGGCTATGGAGGGAAATATGGGATACGAAGCACAGTGGAGGAAAGGGAAAAAAGTCAACTGTTTCAAATTCCCCAAAACTTTCCTTAAATCCTTTCCAAGAGCACAAAGCAGGTCCTCATAGGGAGGACCCATTCTCTCTACTCTTGTTTTTTCTCCTCTCTAAACCCTCTTGAGGTCTCTAAGACACAGCTCTCTAGAATCTTATGATATGGTCATTTTTGTCCTCATAACATCATAACCCATCCAGCTCCATACGTGCTTTCTCCTGACTTAATTTCCCATGTTTCTGGAGAGCTTCCCTACTAAAATCAACAATCCAGAATCCTGATCCCCATCCTTGATGGAGGCCAAACCCAATCACAGATACTTGGCTCAGGATTATTTGGATCCCTTTTTTTCACAGGGCCCTCTCCCCACATCCCTGCAACACAAGGCGAGACTCTGGGAATGCCTACGGACCTCCACAGTTAGGCCAGATAGCTCATGGTCATGTTTACCCCTGTCACCACTCTGCCCAGCCTCAGGCCAGTTGCTATAGGAGGTAAAGAAGACACCCAGCTCTAGGCCAGAGCATACCCTCTGCCTCCCCTGATCAGTATGCAGGGCTCCCCCTCACTAGTCCTGATCCTACATCTTTTAAAACTCATCCACAAATAAAATAAAGCAAAATAAAACTCACCCAGGAGGCTCTCTTCCTGTCTGGTGTCCAGACTTCTTCACTATAGGAATCTAGATTCCCGCCTCCCCAGCCCCCCGCCACCACTCACAAGCTTCCGAATTTGGTCCAGTACCAGGTCGATGAGCTCCTTTCCAATGGTGTAGTGACCTCAGGCATAGTTATTGGCAGTGCCTTCCTTGCTGGTGATGAGGTGCTCTGGATGGAAGAGCAGGTGGTACGTGCCCATCCGAACTTCATCTGCAATGGGCAGAGTTTTAGACACCCCCCTCCCCTGCAGCCTGACTCCCCGAGTTACCCAGAAAGGGCAGGGCCACCAGACCCTTAGTCCTACCCTAGAGGAGCTCCATTCATGCAGGTGTTATGGCCCTTGACTTTGAGTGTTCATCAATGAAAAGGAAAGGGTTACAGAGTGACCCTGAGACTTGGGCTGAGTGGCAGCGGATCTGTGGTTTAACAGGCTGCTGGTCCCGTGAGCTACAAATTCGAGAGCTCCAGGCATGGGGAGGGACTTGCTGTGGTGCCCAGGACAAGGTGACACACGTGACAGAGACGGATGGTCACTCACCAATCCCCGTGGGCTCCAGATACACAAACACAGCCCCGAGCACATGCTTCCCAGCCCCGGTTTCACTAAAGAAGTTGTTGAAGGAGTTGTCCCCTCCACCGATGGTCTTGTTGCTGGGCATCTGTCGATCTGGTTGGATCCCGTGTTCCAAGCAGTAGCGCTCCCAGCAGGCATTGCCAATTTGCACATTGGCCTGTCCCACATGGACTGAGATGCACTCACACTGAGCAGGCAAAATGCAGAGAACACTCTTAGCAAAGAGAAGCCTGTCGTTCCTGGACACCGTTCCTGCCCAAAATCCTTTCTTGCATGGTTCTCTGGCTGAGGGCAAAGGTTCCTGCTCTCCTTGCCCCACCTCCTGTGTCTAAGGATTTACTGGTGGCCTTGAGGACCCACAGGCAGTGGCTCCAGGGGCTGGGCCAAAACCCTCAGAGGAAGCAGATGTGGGCAGTTAGTTCTAAGATTATAGAGTCTCACTCAGTGACTAAGCATCTTAAGAGTGTTGAGGAGGTCAGATGAGTCCGGCAGAGCATAATAGTCCAATCCACTCATGTTCAGAAAGAAATGAAGGGCCATGGGTGAGAGAAGCAGGGTCCAAATGAGGCTTCAGGGATCAGAAACAAGGGAGAGGCTTTGAAAGCAGGAAGAACTCTAGATTCATGTTACAGCTAGAAAGGCCGGCAAGGAAGGGAAGAGTGGTCCTGGGATGGCAGGGGATAGGCTGTTCCCTCCTCTCTTGGATGTGCATAATTCCGGAGTGGAGTGGAGTGGAGTGGAGTGGAGTGGAGTGGAGTGGAGTGGAGTGGAG